ACCACAGGTTGACTCTTAGGAGTCACCAGTGTGACTACAATTCCTGGTTCTTGGTTAAGTTCTCAGAACATGGGATCCACCCATGGTGGTGCACACCTAATCCCAGTACTCTGGAAAGAGAGGCAAGTAGATCTCTATGAGTTCAAGGCCTGCCTGGTCTGCATAGTGAATTCCAGGCCATGCATGCCTGCGGGCGCACGAACACACACACACACACACACACACACACACACACACACACACACAAACTCCATCCAAAATAGAGAGCAGAGAGAGTGGATGGAGTATACATAGAAAAGCCTGGGAAGCATAAGAGATATGGTTCTTGCTGGAAAAAAAAAACTACCTTTTTTTGAAGATTCTTTGTGATAGTTTATGAAGCAGTTTTCCATCCTCCCAGTCAACATCCCTCTTTCTTTCATCCCTTCCTCTCAGTATTTTCCTGTTGTTTTCTTTGCCATGGCAACATTACCTGGGAACCTGGTGTCTGTGAGAGGTCCTTTGATGTCTGTTCTTCATCCTACTCCTTCTCTCTTTGGGTGTACCACACGTGTCTTTTAGAGCATCCTTGGAGCTGAGATTCAATCACATGGCTCATCATCCCGTTAATGAGTCTTTTGGGGCCCCCACTGCCAGCCCATCCTCGGAGTCTGTGACTCTGTGTCTCTAGCACACACTTTGCCATCTCTCCCTCTCTCCTTCTCTCCCTCTCTCCCTCTCTCTCCCCCCATCGACAGGGATCTACCGATGCAGCTCATCCCTTCAGCCCAGTTGAAACACCACTGTATCCATTTTCTAAAAAAATCACACATGTAGGTATGATGAGTTTTCTTAGAGGTGTTTGAAATCTTAGACTGTTAGTGTCATGTGGAATTCCTATGAAGACTTTATAAAGGGTTGGCAGCTTTTCCATCTTCTTTAAGCCATAAATTGACACCTTAATTCAAGAATAAAATATTCCAGATTTTGGGTAATTCACAGTAAAAAGAGTAAGCCTTGAATGTCAAAATACTTTATTTCTTTCATGCAATGCTGCTTTCTTGAGAAATAGAGGATTTGATCTTTTACTATAGAGGTGTTATCAATTATAGCCAATTGAAATTGCTTCAAAATTGCTCATCATGTAGCTTCCCCTCTCCCCAAGAATTCACAAAAATCTAAGAGAGCTGTAATTTAGTATTTTTGTATTGTTTAACTGAAGAATCTACGTTAATGGACAAAACCACTCTGAACAGCAGAGGGCACTTATGTACACAATACAGAATGTTGCCTGTTTTTGAATAGCAACTGAGCAGGTGTGCAGCCTCCACGCCATTATCCATGAACCTTGTCAGGGATGAATTTGATGGAGGTAATTACTGTTCTCAACGACTCTATCATCCATGCCTTTTAATGTTTAAAACCCAGCTTCTTAAACTGTGGCTTAGGAAGCCATATGGGACCAGGTAACTCAGTGTGAGGGTCATTAAAAAAAATCTGGCAATTAATTCAAAATTAAACACATAATGAATTTGAAGTGTTTCTGGGGGTGCTCGCTCATATTGCATCATGTGAGCATCATGTGAGTTCACTGCAGCCTTGGCAGTGAACAATCTACATTCACACTGTTCTGTTACATTATACACTGCCCATGAGCATGGCCGGAAGTGCCTCAGCTTGGACCTGAGACTATTGTATGGCATAAACTTCAGTGTCTTTGCTGTCCATTAAATGTTTTCTATTATTATAGAAAAATAATGCTTTAATTATGGAAACAAAGATTTTTGATATTTGCCTACTATAATTCTCTAGCATGTATCAAATGAGTATATCTTTGGACTGCATTGTGTTAGGATATTTGGTTTTAAAGATTGCTGTTGGAGTTCCTGATTTGGGTTTCATAAAAAGTTGCTAAATGAGGGACTGGAGAGATGGCTCAGCATAGAGTGCTCACTGCTCTTACAGAGGACTAGGGTTTCGTTCCTAGCTCACTACTCCTTGTAATTCTAGCCTCCATGGGTACCTGAACTTCTTGTATACTATTAGAGGGACCAGCCTTAATATTATACATCCCAGGGACTCAGGAGAGAGAACCACTAACGGTGAGGACTATTTTTGGGAAATAGAATCTCAGCACACCAAGCTCTATAGTCCACTTGCTTTAATTCCTCTGGCATAACATCCTTTATACACAGCTTCGGTTCTGTTCTCATGTCTAGCTCCTTTCTTGCCTGATTTCTCTCTATATTTATCTACTGCTCCCTCTAAATTCTATCTTAATTCTCTCTCCTTAATTCTGCCTCATCTAGGTCCTTTTCATCTTGCTCTTACCCAGGGAGGACTTCCCCATCTGACTCTTCCTCATCTTCCATCTCATCCACACGTACTCTCTGGTCAAAATCCTCCTTATCCCTCCCCATTCCCTGTCTCTCAGTTCTCCACATTCCTCCTAAGTCTCCCAGGAATCCAGTTATAAACCCAAGCAATAGCAATCAATTCCTTGAAAGAGAAAGTTCACCAGGCTTGAATTCTACAGGGTCATAAAGGCAGGTAGGAATTTTCCTCAGGCAGTGACCACCAGGATTCCAGGGTCAAACGGAGGGGTGATAAGAATCACATAGAGGGGCAGTAATTGTTAATTACCATTTGCAACCCAAAAGGGAAGTGACTAATGGGGAAATGAATTAACTAAAGGCTAAATTTGGGTAATATCTAAGAAGAGGGATCTTATGTGCTCCACTATAGTCTTAAATGTGATAGAAATTGGTAGAAAATGTTAATCTGTAAGTTGCTAGATCAATGGGAGAAAATAAAACTGCCTTCTTTTTTCCTGTGTCTTTTTTTCCTATCTGTCCAAGCTATCTGCCATTTTTCTGCAGGGTGGGGGAAAGTGTGCTCGGTCGCTAGGCAACCTGTGCACAGGTAGATGCCTCTGGTGATAGTTAAAGGGAGATCTGGAACTAGAGGTAAGATTTGGGAAAGGAGGAAGCTAAGCGTAATTGGCACATCCGCCAGGCCTTCTCAAACAGGTAATCTGGACACTTAAGTCTGTTCTTAGTACAGAGGCATCTCTGATAAGGTACTTTCCTCCGTCTGGGGACGGTCCTGGCCGGATACTGCCAATGACAATAATTACAGGGAGGCTTGAACTGGGGTTCTGGCTGTGCATAGCTGTCAGCACACAAGGTTATCTAAATATTCCTTTAGTAGAGGGGATAAGGTGCCCCTGATGGAAATGATGGAAAAGCTACAATAGCACACAAGAAACTCATAGCAGGAAATGGCTGGTAATCAAAAGTCAAATATCACCATAGCTCCTTGGGCCTCAGCTTGACCTCTGGAAGGCCCTTGGCTTCTTCCAGGTATTAGCTTTGTCATAATCAGCTGAAATCCTACTTTGTATATTTTTGCGGCTTGCAGCATGAACTCATGTGCACAACCACTCTCCAATATACATGTAATTAAAAATAATATAATCTAAAAATTGCTAAATTAATTTTGGCTCAGGATTAGGACAGAATTTTCAGCAGTTTCTGAAATGGCTCTAAACATACTTCTGCTGGTTTTTTTTTCTTACTGTGTATTTATGCAATTTAGCATTCTCAGCATTGACCATTATAAAATCAAAATATCTGTTTACTCCAAAGAACACTGATGAAGCTGTATCAAATATTTAATCAAGACTTAATTTTTATGCAAAAATGATCATATCGATCTCACTAGTCTGCCAATTTACTTTTGTTTATAATAAATGATAAAAGTATATGAATATCAAGAATTAGTCTAGTGGACACAGGAGGATCCCTGGGGCTTGCTAGCTAGCCAGTCTCCCTGAATCAATGAGCTCTAGATTCAGTGAGAGACCCTGCCTCAAAAGACACAGTGGAGAAGCAAATGAGGAAAACACTCAGTGTTGACCTCTGAGCCCCACTTGCACCCATACAGAAATGTGCATGCACACTCACACAGGTGCACACACACATACATAAACATGTGCATGTGTATTCACAAGTATTTCTTGGGCAAAATGGGGTTGCAAGTGGAAAATGTTTAAGAAGGTTTGGTTTGAAGCAGTGGAATAGAGAGACAGGCTGTGGACTTGAAGGTGTTGCAGCACCTCTAAAAGGAGATGCAAATAGAGAACATTATCAGTCGAGCTGCAGAAGGGACACTCTCACAAGTCTGCCTGGGGCTCGGTGCACTCACAGGTGCGCATGGCTGCGAGAGGCTGGCTCCCACGGAGAGCTTGGCTGTGTTTCTCTAGGCTTGGCCTTTCTCTAGAATTTCACAACTGTATCTCTAAAGTTCTGCCTGCAATCCCCCCCTCATGCCTAATAGGCTTCTCAAAATTAATGGGGCTGAAACAGAACTCATGACCAAATTCCTATCCCAATCCCCAAAGGAAAAGTAACCAGTTACTTCCTCACGAGTCTTCCTCATATCCACCCATGGCATGAGGATGCACTCAGCTACCCAGGCCAAACACGAGATGCCAGATTCTTACTTTCCCCGGACTCTTCTAATTCAGAGTAAGCCCAGTGTCCTTCCAAGGCATGTCCAGCTCTGCCCTTTTCTTGCTCAGTCTTTTTTTTTTTTTTTTTTAATTTATTGCCAAATGCAGTTTATTGAAGGAGGGAGGAGGTCTTAAATACAGGCTTACAGCACAATGGGAGAACCCCGGAGGAGAAGTTCGCTACCGATGTTTTACAATCTTGCATCTAAGCTGTTAACACCCATTATGAAGGATACACAGACAAGGAACTTCCCTTAAGCATTCAGGAGGGTGCTTGCTCAGTCTTTTATGCTCCTAGCTTAGCATGAGCTACCGTGCTTGCTGGCCTGACTCCCCCCCCCCCCTTTTGAGAAAGGGTTTCTTGGTGTAACAGCCCCGGCTGTCCTGGGACTCACTTTGTAGACCAGGCTGGCCTTGAACTCACAGATATCCTCCTGCCTCTGCCTCCGGAGTGCTAAGGTGAAAGGCATGCATCACCACCGCTGGCCTGGCCTTCTGTCGAGAACCTCGGAATGACCCACTCTACAGACATATTCCTCAAGTGCAGCCCGAGCATTCTTCACATGCCACCCCCAGCTTAATAAACCCCGCCAGTACATTTCCGTTGCGCGTGGCTTGCGCAAGGCCAGGCTCCTTCCTAAGGGCGCCACCTACTCAGACCCCTTCTTTCTCCAGCACTCGCCCAGCCCTCCACTCCTTCCTGCGCTACATCCTTCTGCTTGTGGGTTGGACCCTGCACACCGGGGCTCCGGGGCTCTTCACAGCTGCCTTCTGCGTTAGGTACTTTCCTTGTTGCTGTCCCCGAATCCCTGATGGGAAGCCACATAAGGGACAAAAAAGGTCGATTTTGGCTGTCGTTTGAGGGGAGGCAGTCCATTATGGCGAGTGAGGCTTAGTGGCAGGAGGGTGGAGCGGCCAGCCATACTGAATCCGCAGCCAGGAAGCCGAGGGCTGTGCACCGGAAGTGGGGCTGGGTTATAAAACCGTAAGAATTCCCCTACAGTGACTTCCTTCCTTCAGTGAGCTCCTAATGGTTCCCGTGACCTTCCCAGAACACCTCAAAGAGCGGGGGAGGCGGGGCGGGGACCAACTGCTCAAACATACGGCCTATCTGGGGGTGCGTTTTACATCCAAACCACAGGAGCTTCCTTCAGGCATCTAATTATCAGATGTCATCTCCTCGGAGAGGCGGGTCTAGTTCCGTCTCTGTCGCCGCTGTGATAAGATGCTCTGACCAAAAGTAGCGAAAGGGAGGAAAGAGAAGAGGACTTGTTTGGCTTATATTGCGGCGTCACAGTCCATCAAGGAAAGCCAGGGTAGGAACCCAAACGGGAGACTGAAGTAGACATCACAGGGAAGGCCTCCCGCTGGCTCATTCACGGGCTCGTGCTTTGTCAGCTTCCTTCCTTCCTTCCTTCCTCCCTCCCTCTTTTTTTTTTTTTTTTTTTTTTTTTTTTTTTCGAGACAGGGTTTCTCTGTGTAGCTTTGCGCCTTTCCTGGAGCTCACTTGGTAGCCCAGGCTGGCCTCGAACTCACAGAGATCCGCCTGGCTCTGCCTCCCGAGTGCTGGGATTAAAGGCGTGCGCCACCACGCCCGGCCCTCTCGCCCTTTCTTTTTCTTTCTTTTTTGGTTTTTCGAGACAGGGTTTCTCTGTGTAGCTTTGCACCTTTCCTGGAACTCACTTTGGAGACCAGGCTGGCCTCGAACTCACAGAGATCCGCCTGCCTCTGCCTCCCGAGTGCTGGGATTAAAGGCGTGTGCCTTCCCAGGGAACAGGGCTACTGCCCCCAGTGGGCTGGAACCTCCTCTAGCAACTGAAAATTAAGATAGCTGGGGGTGGCAGAGGCAGGCGGATCTCTGAGTTCAAGGCTTCATGTCTACTACTTTTATTATGAAATGAGGGCCATTTTCTCTCTCTCTTTCTCTCTCCCTCCCCCTCCCTCCCTCCCTCTCTCTCCCCCCTCTCTCCCTCCCTCCCTTCCTCCCTCTCTCTATCTTTATATATAAAATTTTATTTATCCATAGTAATACATTTGTGGAAAAACCTATTTAATTTAGGTTTAAAGCAGGATGTTGCAAACTCCTTTCTCCTTCCTGCCTACTGGCTGTGTTGCCTTGGGTAAATAATGTAGCATCACTGGGCTTCAGTTCCTCCTGTGGAAACTGAATGCCTATGCAGGAACGTCAAAGGACCTGATCTTCAAGGCGGTTTGAGGTCATCACTGACACCATCACAGGCCTCATCACCTCCAGCAGTGGCGGCGGTGACAGCCAGTTCCTCCCTTTCTTCAGAAGGTGAGTTCTCTCCAGTGCCCTTACTTCCTCCCCATCCTGGATAAGTTCTAAAGAAGCTTGTTAATGCATCTGACAGGGGCCAAGACATGGAAGGAAGCCTTCAGTGTAAGAACTAACCTGCCGGGCGGTGGTGGCACATGCCTTTAATGCCAGCACTCGGGAGGCAGAGACAGGAGGATCTCTGTGAGTTCGAGGCCAGCCTGGTCTACAGAGCGAGATCCAGGACAGGCTCCAAAGCTACAGAGAGAAACCCTGTTTCGAAAAACAAAACAAAACAAAACAAAAAACCCCAACAAAACCCAGTCTTTTTTTTTTTTTAAGATTTGTTTATTTATTATGTATACAATGTTCTGTCTGCATATATTCCTAAACCCCAGAAGAGGGCACCAGATCTCATTACAGATGGTTGCTGGGAATTGAACTCAGGACCTCTGGAAGAGCTGCCGGTGCTCTTAACCTCTGAGTCATCTCTCCAGCCCCTAACCCAGCCTTAAGCTTGGGAGCTGCTTGTGTGTGAACTGCACTAAACAGCTTTGGTGTCTGCTAGCGGCACCACCCTCTGGTCTCCCTTTTGTGGGGCGTTTACCCATCACCCCCACAGCTTCCCAGAGTTTTCTTGAGTGCGAGCAGCAGGAAATATTAGAAGGATTTATAGCAGAGAATCTTGCGGAGATAAACAGATAGAAAATAAAGGATAGCCTCGAGAGGGCCTGGAACCTATTCC